AAAAAAGTGTGCAAATTAGAAATTTGCACATGGCTTCCTCATGGAGGAAGCTTTATGAGCGAAATCTAATTTTTTTCGATGTTTCGTGAAAGTGTGCAAATTAGAAATTTGCACATTGCTTCTTCAGCATTGAAGCGTGCAAATTGGAAATTTGCACATTTCTTCCTCATCATTAAAGTAGGCAAATTAGAAATTTGCACATTGCTTCCATTGTTATGGCTTCCTCATAGAGGAAGCTTTAAGAGAGAAATCTAACTTTACTACGATGTTTCTTGAAAGTATTCAAATTAGAAATTTGCATATTCTTATTTCGCTCTTAAAGCTTCCTCTATGAGGAAGCCATGTGCTTCTAATTTGCACACTTTACTTTACTTTTTTTCTAATTAGAAATTTGCACATTGCTTCCATTGTTATGGCTTCCTCATAGAGGAAGCTTTAAGAGCGAAATAAGAATATGCAAATTTCTAATTTGAATACTTTCAAGAAACATCGTAGTAAAGTTAGATTTCTCTCTTAAAGCTTCCTCTATGAGGAAGCCATAACAATGGAAGCAATGTGCTCTAATTTGCCTACTTTAATGATGAGGAAGAAATGTGCAAATTTCCAATTTGCACGCTTCAATGCTGAAGCAGCAATGTGCAAATTTCTAATTTGCACACTTTCAAGAAACATCGAAAAAAATTAGATTTCGCTCATAAAGCTTCCTCCATGAGGAAGCCATGTGCAAATTTCTAATTTGCACACTTTACTTTACTTTACTTTCTTTCTAATTATATATTATATTGTTCTTCAATTTTTTCTATCAAATTTCATATATGATTCATTAAAATATGATTAATTAGTTCTTTAGTTATAGACATTTGAAATTTTTGGAAATTATTATTAAAGATAATTTGCGATAGTTACAGCAACCACAGACATTTCTCAAACAAGGTGATCTTTACGTGTCCTTGAGGAAGCTGTTCAAGGTCATATTTATATTACTATGTTATGCACTACTTAAAGCCGTACAACTTTCATGTTTAACAGTTTTCTCCATCTTACATATTTAAAAAGTTATTTAGAGTTACCTTATAAGGATATATACAGCCATACATACATACATACATACATACACACATACATACACACATACATACCGAAATTTTTCTGAATGTGATTTTTGGATGTTTTGGAACATTCTAAACATGTTTTCAAAGAAAACTGGAAAAAAATTGGTAATTGTGCATAAAAGCGACTTCCTCTCCGATTCGCTTGATTTTTAAATATGTTGTTGGGGATGTCTTCCCGAGTCATTTCATATTTATATATAAGGGCCGGACTCAAATAGTTTCGGAGATACAGGCTGAGAAAGGATACAAATAATAAATACACCTAACTCGTACTTCCGCCGTTGTACTGTTCCACATGGGTTTGCAACTTTCCACGTGAAGCGAGATCCACTCCACACCTCTGACATAGGGTGGGTAGGGTTATTTTTAACGAAGTGGAGCCCCCCCGAAGGGGTTTCGGAACACACTGTCTTCACGCATATATTTTTCCATCTACATTTGGTGGAGAGGAGTGACTTATACATGTATGTAGGTAGAAAAATGTCTGGGAGGACAGAAGGAGGGGGGCGCAAGAGAGGTTGATCAGGTGGAGGGTAGACAGGCTCGACCTCGACAAGCTGAGGGAGTCCCTCAACGCGGCACTGTGGACGCAGCCGGAGCCTGCGTCCACAGTGGAAGAAGAGGCGGAGTTGCTGCGACACGTGCTGACGAGCGCGTGCGATAGCGCGATGCCGCGTGCGAAGTTCGCCCCTCGCAGGGCGGCCTACTGGTGGTCCGAGGAGATAGACGAGCTCAGGAGAGCTTCGGTGGCCGCCAGGAGAGCCGTCCTGCGAGCGAGGAGAAGGAGGGGGACTCTCCCCGCGGAAGAGGAGAGGTTGGTGGAGGAGTACCGACAGAAGAGGAAGGTGCTTCGACTGGCGATAAAGACTGCCAAGGAGAGGGCGTGGGAGGAGTTGATTGGCTCCTTGGATGCGGACCCATGGGGGCGCCCCTATAAACTTGTTACGAACAGGTTAAGTTCGGGGGCGCCCCCGGCGGTCGAGTCGATGGACCCGCGCTTTCTCCAGGAGGTGGTTGAGGTGTTGTTTCCAGCGGGGAACAGCGGCGGTCCTCAGCGAGGGGGACACGAGGGAGAGGAGCATCAGCCTTGGCAGGAGGAGGAGCTGGGGGTCACCCGGACGGAACTGGTGAGAGCGATGAAAAAGCTCAAAAAGGGCAAGGCACCAGGTCCGGACGGGGTCCCCGGCGTAATCTTGAAAGCAGCCCTGGGGGAGCTCTCCGAAAGACTGGAGGGTTTGTTCACCCGTTGTCTGGAGGAGGGCGTCTTCCCGGGGCTGTGGAAGAGAGCAAGGTTGGTGCTCCTCCCCAAGGAGGATAAACCAGCAGAGGCACCGGGTAGTTACAGGCCGATCTGCCTCTTGGACGAGGCTGGCAAGCTTTTCGAGCGGGTAATTGCGGCCCGCTTGATGGGGTACGTAGAGAACGATGGGCCCGGCCTGTCCGAGAGGCAGTTCGACTTCCGCGAGGGGCGCTCAACAGTGGACGCCGTCATGTGTGTTCGCGAAATAAAGGATGTAATGATGGGGGATGGAGGGGTGGTGTTGGCGGTCGCCCTGGA